CATTCGATCAGAGTTAATCCTTTCAGATTGAACTTTTTCTCATGTCGAAGACCAATGATTAGCGTATATTGTGGAATCGGTAAGATTTGAAACAAAAACCTTCATTTATTATCACGCGTAGATAAAGCGGAAATCATTTGCTGTTTTCACCCGATTTTCGATTAGTCAATCTTTGCGTCGGATATTTTCCGTTCAAACAAATTTTGTTGCATACCATGAGAGAGAGCAGACTTGAAACTACATAAAGTATACTCAAATCGCGCTCTGATGCTTGTGAAGTCATTCGAAAAAATGTCACTCACTATGAGAAAATGGATTATCTTTTCTGAATTTTCGTTTTTCATAAGATTTCTCATCTCATTTTCCATCTTCCGATTTTGCATTAAAATAGCCAATACACATTTTGTAGATTAATTGAACGCCCTGTATTTCGATAAACAAATTTGCCCGATTAATTATAAGGAAGAGGAGAAAGACTGAAAATACTAACACTATAGTTCTTTTGGGGCCGCCCGTTATATTTCTGGTAATAGAATGGTGGAAGCATGAAAACTGAAAAAAATGACAGTTTGACTATGAAACTATACGTAAATTCGAGTTGAACTAGTCACAACAGCAAAATTCCCCGTAATAACAATATACTGTGACTGATTTGGAAAATAGTTGATTTTTTGGCTGGCTCACTAATTATTGTGCAAATGCTAGTCAAGATGCTTTTAAAAGGCATTATGGCTGTGACTACTATTTCTGTTTATAAAGTATATGTTAATCATCTTCTGGTTCTTCTTCAGGTCGAACTGTATGGTCAAAAGTGATTCGCAATAATACAGCTCAAACCTACTTATTCACTGCTGATCAATACTATGCAAATTATCAATTTATATATCGCTTACCCAAACCAATTAAACTCTACCCAGTAGCTCTCTACTTTTCATTTCCGGAAAACAAATCAAAATTAATTTCGTTATTTTAGGGAGATGAAATTGCAACACGTTGTATGTATTCGACGACTAGTAGTACTTCAATTACCTTGGTAAGTTTCACTGGCAAAATTTAATTATAAGAAAATATGGCTTCTTTTCTATTGTGGTTTTGCAACTTTAATGTTTTCTTCCAAAACATCTCAGGTGTCTCATTCTCAAACGCTTATATTCACACCTGTGGCTACCATTCCGAACTTTCGTTTTACAAGCTGACACGTTGTCTTATAGATCATATCAGATTTTATATAGATTCAATGATAGTACGTTTTCAAATACTCCACAATGGGAAAGTAACACAGCTTATATAAGTGTAACAGACACCTTTGAATAACGGTTAGAGAGTATCGGAGACCGTTTCCAGTTCAGACAGAGAGGGTTTCTGAATCGGCTAAATTAAGTTAGTGCGAAATGCCGGATAATCGGTCGACAGAAACCGTCGTTATGTAGAGAGAAAACTGTTTCAATGTTTATCCATCATAATTATTTGTTTCTATTGAATTTTCGAAGGGTGGAGAACCTTTGGAAGAAGAAATGTGTCTCCATGTATTTGTGTATTATCCAAAGATGACTAATATGGCGGGATGTGTATCAAGAATAAGCACAAAGCAATGGGAAACAATATACAATAAATCGTACGTGTTCAATCTATGCATTCCCAAGTCCACTGCCACCCGCTCGTGCAAGTGATCGCTACGAATTTGCACTAGTTGCTTCGTGATCATGATTTTTACGCACTGTCGCGATCAAATCTTATGAAGATTTGAAATATGATCGCGAGTTTTTGTTATCGCGACGCGACTCACTCTATCGTGACGTGATCGCTGGTGAGTCGCTATTTATCGTTTTGTTGTGCGGTTGAGAATAACATAAAAGAACGAGAAAACCCTAGGTTAGTTTATCTATTACATCGGTTTTATTCGTTCATCAATTTTCTCGCAGTTAGAGAACATTTAATTAGCTAAAAGGCAGCGAGAGTAGTGCTCTCTAATATTTTTACACAAAACACACTAACCATTTTTCGAAAAATCATATCGAAAGTGACCCCACCTTTAGTATGCTTAGCTCTACTTCTATTGTTCTCTAGTTCTAGACACTCAGGTCTTTCTTCCCGTTTAGAATAACTGGTAACATCACAAGTCAGAATGATTTTAAAACATGGTTACAAAACATGGAATGGACACAAGAATCACGGCAAACTTGGCAAGCATTTTATTCCACAGCTGAACGAGAACGTTCAACATCAAATTTGAATTTGACAGGAACATTTTTTATTCCAAACTATGTGGATTTAAATGAAATTGATTGTAGTGTACATAACAAAACAAGAACTGCAAATAACAGCACTAGAATTAGGTAGTTCTGTTGAATTAACATAATTCTTTTAAGAATTAAGGAGAAGTTAAAACTTCTCCTTCATTTTTTTCCGAACATGCTTTGCCTGTAAAATTGTTTTAAATACATCACTCAATTCAGAATTGTATGAGCCACATTTTAAAAAAGCCAGACGTCCTTCCAATGCCAAAGGAGGGCGTGCAATAAGAACGAGAATCCGACTCCATTTTCAGATTTTGCTCTAGAAGTTTCCTTTGCATCTAATTAACTTCACAGGAAATTAAAGAATCCCAAGAGCGCTCGAAAAAAAGGGTCTTTTTTCATAACGCAGTGACGTGACACTAAAATCCTTCTCAGAGCCCAATGTAACATCCAAAAAGCTTCGTTTTTACAGCACAATTAGAGCATGATGAACTGCGTCAATTGACGTTTAAACAAACTTTCTAGCTACTTTAATTTCCGAGATAACCGAAGTTTAGTGGTTCAAAAACGTAACGCCGCGACGTTTGGACAAGCCGTTCAGTGCAATTTTAAATAAAACCATTACACTATGTACATCAAAATATCTGGAGAGGTTTTTTTCCTCTTAGAGCTGAAAACTTTATGTCTGTAAAAGGTACGTAATTTCATGATAGAGTTGAATGTTTAGAACAAGGGATAATTAAAATGAGAAAATGTGCTTTTGATCACCAAATCTTTTAAAGAGTTATGACATTTCATCATCTCTTCCTTGTTCATAATCTCAATAAAAAAAAAAAAACATTTCTACAAGCAAGACGACTTATGTATTGGTTTCATGTGATAAAAAATGTCGTGAATATCGAAATTTAGTGACTAAAAAACATTGAGATGAAATCGATAAAGCGATCCATGCTGAACAATTGAGTTTTAGCGCCGAAGTATTTAATCATGGAATGAATGTTCTAATGACTAAATGGCGTTCTGGTACATCGTTGACTAAGTTTTGTGACTATTTTTATGATCGATGGGTCGGAAATTGTCGTACTGGTAATAGAAGTTTGGGAGTTCTGTAGCTATGTTTAATGTTCTATTCATAATTTTCTGTACTTGAAAACTCTGGTTGCATCAATGAGTTTGAGTAAAACACGATGTAATTGACGGAAAATGTAATATATGGCTATGCAGTTAGGTATGGAGGTTGTGGGTTAAATATACCATCCACAAACAACGGTTGTGAATCAATGGAAAATTTGATGATCAAAAGTATCTTCTTTTGGTAATCAAAAAGACTAATGCCCATTAAAATTAAGACAATTTATTTGAATAATTAGAAGAGGAAATTAATATGCTGGTTTAAAATTAAATTATTCGTCTGAAAATCATTTTCACAACTTCTGCTGTTAGTCTATTTTGTATACCAGTTCTTCCAAAAATTCCAAGTCCTAGTTCAATACCTTTTACTAACGTTGGTGCTAGGCTTGAGAATGTTGCCATTATTCCACTACCACTATTTGTTCCATCATTACTGTTATTATTTTCACACAGATTATAGGCAACAGTTGGTGCAACCAGAATTAATTCGTCAACGGCAGCTTGTCTACACTTTGCATCTGACTGGGAAAATCTTAACGTTGCTGCAATCACCGGGCCACAGACACGTGTGACTAATGTACGTGTTTCAATTTTACATATTTCCAATGATAAAGTTGTTTCATATAAACCGTTGTCTTCTGGACATATTTCATTTAAAATTTTTACTAGTTTACATACGTAATTATCGTAGAAATGTTGAGTTAATTCATTCGATGTTCTGAGAACAACTTTTTCTAATTCAAAGCATAACTTTTCACGAATTTTATCTTCAGGAGGATGTGAATTTGGATGTAGCGGTGTAAAGCCGTATGTTTCAAACATCAGTCGCTTTATCGAACGCTGAGGTCGTTGTTCAGGGGCTTCCATTGCTAATGCACGAAACCGATCATGAAATATTCGTTTAGTTTCATCAATAAATTTTGAACGATTTTCAGTGAGTTGTGTCTTTTGCCAAAAATTTGCCTTAGCAAATGTTGGCTGAAATCGTTCTTCTTCATACACTTGATCCCATTTTTCAGTGTTCAGTTTTTTAATATAAGTATCAATTGAAGTTTCTTCTGTCGGATTTATGGGTAGTATTTTTCTTGCAGTTTTTAAAGTATCAGTGACATATCTAAGAAGTTCATTTTTTGCTAAATCAACCAACTGTTTTAAATGTGTTTTTGGTAATTCACATTCTATAAATTGACTAAGAGCAGTTTTACTTTTTTGAAAACCGTTTTCTAATTCACCAAAATTTTTTATTTTATCTTGAATTACTGTAAATTCTTCTGAATTTTGTTTCAGTAATTGTAATACTGAACATATTGCAAAAATATGTTCTTTCTTAAATTTTTTTTCTATTAATTGATCCCGTGCTTTGAGGAAATGATCATTAAATTTTGTTTGTGTTTGACAGAGATCAAGTTTCGTTATAATACCAAATGCACGTTGCATTGCCTCATAATGATTTTCTCCTTGGATTTCATTTAACAGAACCATCTGAGGCTCTGTTAAATCTGGACGTTGACCGTCGGTAAGATATAGAAATGCATCGGATGATTTTATAGCTTGTAGACCAGCCAGACGATGTTCTTTGATTGGGGAATCAAAACCAGGAACATCTAATAATTCATAGTTTTTACCTAAAATACAAAATAAAAAGATAGACGACACCAACACACTACTAGTTTAAAACGCTACGTCAAAAGACTGTGACAACTGTGTTGAGACTCACGGACTGGTGATCGCTAAATCACTCTAAAGAGTGTTTTTCCATATCATCATACAAAGCTGATTGCGAAGTCGTTGATGGACTAAGGTCGGTTTTAACTATTCAGCTTTCTTCGGCCGAAAATGAAAAACTGATTGAATAGCAGTTAAAATGCTTATGTGTTAATGCTCAGAATATGAAGAGTGGTCGCTTAGGGACAAATGACTCGATTTAGCTATTCACACGGCATTTGCAGATCTTCCATTCGAGTTCCGAAAGTTGTGTCGTAATCGAAGACAGATGTCCAACTTTTTGCGGAATGTTTTCTTAAACAGAAAAGTGGGTTTGACTGTGGACTAGGAGACAAAGATCAAAATAAAACGTCTCGTATTAGGTGCGGTTGACGATAGCGGTAGATGATTTCGTTTCATTGAGCCTTTCGTATGAACGAAAGTATTTGCAGCCGACTATTGCTAGGCCTCAAGCTAGCTGTTTGCATTCTCGATAATGCACTGATCTAAACAATCAACACATTTGAAAACTGTAGATTTTAAATGCCACCAGACAATTCAGAAAACCGTGGCTATAAAATGAACTGTTCTGGCCCTCTCGAAGCGGCCAACGAAAGGCAGCACAATGATTGACACTCCAGACCGTTTTCAATCAACCTTTTTATAAGTGAACTATATGTCAAGGAGTAGCGCTTTCTTATTACCTGGTAATTTATCTGTAAAAATTGTTAATTCTTTAATAATATTAACATATGATTCGCCGACAATATATTCAGAAACTTGTTTACGTTCACCGCCGGCATTTACACTGCCACCACCTCCGCTACCTGTGTTAAAACGCTGTTCTCCCTCCGGATATTTCGAAACTATTGTACTGCGTAATTCCATGATTTGTTTTTTACGTAACTGAAAATTTTCATCTGATTCATCGTCCTTCCTTTTCATCTGTTCCAGTAAATTGCCAAATTCACTATCGTTATAAAATTTGGCAGTAGCAAACAGATTTGGGTTATCTCTCATTGGTGGCTTCAGAATTGTACGAATTTGCGTACAACGTTTACTGTCAGATGGTAATAGATCGTAACCTAATAGTGCATTGATATATGTTGATTTACCACATTTCTCCAATCCAATGATACATATTGTATGTGATACTTTGGCATTTAATTCTTTTAATCGTTCTAATATATTTTTTATACTCACCAAACGATTACTATTACGATCTATTTCTTCTTGTTGCTGCTCAACATATTCTAATGATTCGATAATTTTAATATAGGTGTCAATTAGATCATTAATCTTTTGCTTTAATTCATTTACATCAGTACTATGATCAATTTTTGTAAGGTAACTTTGTAATTCATCAAATGATTTTTTTGACAGAACAGTTTGTAGAGTCTGTTCTAGTTGTTTCATATGATTATAAAGCATTCGTGTTTTATTGTTCAAATCAGCATTAATATTTAATTCCTGATTTTCGAATTTTTTCTCCAGTATTCGCTTAAACTGATGCTTAAGACCGTGAAATTCAGTCAGTAAGTGTTGAGTCCATCGTACAACTAGAAGCAGAAATGACATCTTTAATAATGTCTATTTACTCTTACAAGCTTTAAAAACTGACTGATGCAACTACTGACGATCACTTCACAGTAATTAACGTTCTTCTTTAACACACAGTCTGAAGTGATGAGTGATGTTCTGTGCCTCCTTATTTAAAGATTTTGATTATCTGGATCCTAGTAAGCAACAGCCAGCACAATTTACATACCCATATGCAACATTTCATTGGGATCAATACCGTAATCAGCAATAACATG